GGAAAGAGTAAGTAGTTCCCTGACCCCTGTTACCGAGGGTTATATTTCATAGACCCTTCCTCTCTACCCTCATCAGGAAAATATAAGAAAAGACAATGTCCACCCAAGTCGCCCTTTTCTCACACCATGAAACTTTTCAGGTCTACCCCATCCCTCAGCCCAGCTTTTTAAAAAATGAGACCTTCTATTGGCTTAAAAAAAGAGAAAAATGAGATAAAATCAACTGGTGTGTGATGGAGAGTGAGAGAAGTGGGTTTCAGCTCCAGAGAGTGCAGAAAATGTGGCTGATAAAATGGTTGTGCCTTCTGTTTTGAGTCAGTCTCATGCAATGCCCCAAGTCAACACGGGTTTTCCTGATTGAGTGAAGACTGGTAGGTCATTGGGACAAGCCTATGAAAAGGAGTGTGGGACCATACCATAGATCTCAGGTGCTGGCCTATGGCACCACCATCAACCCTCCTGGAGAAGACAATAAATGAAAGGGGAGGGTGACTTCTCACTCCTACCGCCTCTACCCTTTAGTTTAATTAATGTGCATGAATACAGTGGAAAGAAGTATGCTCTTGCTGATACTATGTGCACCGGGAAAAGCTGTCAGTATGACTGCAGGCATGGTAAACCCTCAGGCTATCGCAGCTTTGAACCTATGCTAGTAACTTACTCTCTCTTCTACTTATACATGCACGCGCACGCATACACCCACATTTCCTCTCTTTCTCCCCTTCTCCCCCCCATCTCCCCCCACGTTCAATTCTAGTCTTCAGACCTCAGCACAATTGCTGTGTCTGCTGCCATTTATTTGTGTCATTCCCTTCTGCCCCCGGAAGACAAGTCATGCATATTCACTGCACATTCAAAAGCATATGCATGTATTCAACAAGTGTGCACCCTCCCCTCTCAGTTATGCAACCAGACCAGACATTTAAACAGTCTCCTGCCTCTTCCATACATGTTCCCTGGTGCCTCCTTTCTCCTTGTCACTACCAATATTAGCAGAGAGAGCTCTATTCCATTTTATAATACATTTCTTCCTGCCCGGCAAGGATGGGCAGGGAGGAGAGTTAAAACCCCTTCCTGTTTTGACCCCCTCCTTTTCAAAAGGATGTAGCCAAAATGGAGTTGCCATCTCCTGAAATGACTGCAGCAGTTCATCCCCTTTGTTCTTTTTGTGCCATCTTTCTCCTTGCCTTTTCCCTGGATTGTCACGTTTTCTTCCAATTGTTCTAATGGGTTTGTTATCCAAACACCACAACTGATCTGTTTTATTTTTTTCTCTCTGCAAACATTTCAAGTATAGTGTTATCATATATACTCGTGTAGAAGCCAGCTCATGCTTTGAGCCATTTTCATGATTTAAATATACCCAAAAATGAACAGGGGTTAATTGTTAATGAACAAGCTAAGCCTTGCCTCTCATCTTTAGGTGCCCCTTATTTCAGGGCAGTCAGTATCAACCCCCAGCATACTCAGGGGTTTTCCTGACCTCAAAGCTGCTCAGCATTTTTTCCATCCCTCACATTAGCCTGTCCCAGATGTGATAACTGCATTACCAGAACTGAACCACTGGCCAGACCCGCATATAACTCAACCTTCCCGCCCCTAGCAAATTATTCAAAATTCCAGAGGAAATTTCTCAGCATATATGCAAATACATGTTTCAGCCCTAAATCCCCATGATCTTCAGGAAATAATTTAACAAGAACCACAATATAATTAACATGTAAGTGCAGCAAGCCAATCCCACCTTGTTTCCTCTTCATGCCTTCATTTTTTTTTCTAAACAGTTTTAGGAAGAATTGCCTGAGCAAGCATTTTCCTTCGTGTCCATTCCACCTCTTCTGCTCTCTTCTTCTATACACACATCTGTGTATACCTTCACTGTTTTCAGTTAAATAAAATGAAACTACATAGCCACTGCTTCCACTCATGTACCCTCCCCTGACTCACCCCAAACCTACACCTTCTCCGTCTTTGAAACAACAAGATACCTGACTCTTACGTCACGGGACATGTGATGGCCAGCAATGGAGGAGAAAGGAAGGAGTGGGAAAATGGAAAGATATAAAGGAGGTGGGAAAACAAAGAGGTGGCACTTGTCACCAGTGCTGCCCTAGATAGAACTCAGAACTCCAGTATTCCATGAATAAAGAAAGAACCAGAAGAGTAGCAAATGGGAATCAAGTCTGATCCCACCCCACCCTCCCACACTCCAATTTTCCCCCATGACCCCTTCCCACATTCCTTCCCCTCACTCAAACATCAGACTCAATACTGGAGAGTTTCTCATAAACATGCCCGTTGCTGGAGCCATTGAAAGCCCTGGGGTTTTTGTTGTTAGGCACACAGGGGTTGGACTGGTTCCCTATACAGATGTCCTTCTGGAAACGGGCTGGCACAGCCCCATGAAGGGCTGATACCACCGGCTTGTTGGTGGTGACGATGGCTCGGAAGTCTGGCCTGGCTTTGGGCCCCCCTGCCACCACAGGCTGCCTGAAGAAATAAGATTTGCTGCCGTGGAGCAAGCATTGGTCATCCCCAAAAGTTGGAATGAAAGGGTTTTGCGTGACCCGGTCAGGATAGAGCGACTTGCTGAGCATGTAGCCACTGCCGCCGGGGTTGTTGTGGTGGTGGTAGCTGGTGGCGGGCACTGAGGACTTGTTGTTGGCAAAGGTGGTCTCGTTGGCTGGCATCTCAAACATATGGGCATAGGGACTCCCCTCCAAAAAGCGGCCCTTGTCCTTCAGGCTTACACTGCGGGGGGCCAGGGCTGATTCTTCCTTCTGCAGGTCTACGAAGGTGTCATAGGAATGCTGCCGGCGAAGCTTGTTGCGGTTCTTCTTCTGCACCTTGGAGGCAGAGTTGGAAGGGCTCTGAGGATACTTGGAGGAGGAGGAGGTGCTGGTTGGCACTGGCACAGGGGCAGGCGGTTGGTCCAGCTCTTGAAGGGAGTTATCCTCACTGATGTCATAGAGGTTGCCTGCTTTCTTACACGCCTCACACCGGATGCATGGCTGGCGGGTGGAGTTCTGTCCCACCACTGTTGGAGTATAATTGTGCAGCTTAGAGGGGCAACTACGACAGAAATTAGCCCCAGTCCGGTCCTCCCAGTCTAGGTTGGTCAGATTCTTCTCCCATGGTGCCGGCACCCCACTCACAACACCATGCTTGTGCTCATTGGCGCTTCCAAACTCCCCTGATCCATGCTTGTGGTGGGCCCTGTTGGTGCAGGCTCCTCCTCCCCCTACAGCGTCACGCTTGAACTCATCTCCCCGCTCTTTGTAGATATCTGTCAGGTCCACATGCTCCCAGTGCGGCGAGTTCTCCTTGGCCCGGAACTGGTCCAGGTAGAAGTCTCGTAACCCTTCCTTGTCCCTGAAGTAGCGCTTGTGATCGGGGGAACGGGGTGGGCGTCGGCGGTAGGCTAGTTCAATCTCATCAAATTCCCGCCGTGACTTTGCTGAGGCTGGACGTTTCTTCAGGCTGTCCTTATACTGCTGCTTCCGCCGCTTGGCAGCATTACCTTCAATGTTGCCATAAGTCACCGTGTGGGTGGAAATGTCAGAGACATCTGAGCGGATCAAGTCATCATGGCCCCCTCCACCACTGTAGCGATCACTCTTGAAGGAGAACTTGCCATAGAGATCACCTAGCTGACTGTGCTTGGAAGATGGCAAACCAAGGTCCAATGGCTTCTTACTGATGGACCTTGGCTGGGCACTGAAGGGTGGGTTGTCACAGTCATACAGTCCATCAATGGAACTGGCACTGCCGATACTGTGGGGCCGGTGGTGATGGTGGTAGTGGTCCTGATACACATTACTATCTTTCAGTTGCAAGTTGCCAAAGGTCCTTTCTACCTCACTAATGTAGTCACTGAAGAGGTTCTCCTCACAGGGAGGGTTGTTATAAGACTTGCAATCAGAATGAGTGAAGCTGCGGCGGTGCTCAGAGATGTCATAGACTGATGATTCACGGCGGATAAAGTCCAGGGCACTCTGCGGTGAGCCATTGACCCCTGACAAATTGGCCATATTCTTTGCCGTGCGGAGTAGGCGCAAGATGTTGGAATGGGTATTGTTCATAGTTGCTGTGGGAGAGTTCATCGCTGACTGACGTTCCTCAATAGCTACACCATGAATGCAGCTGTAGATACCCTGAAATGAAATGGAACAGGAAGAGGTGAGTGCTTATGCAAGAGGAGAGAGATATGAGAGGTACAGGACTGGGAAAACAACTATGAGGCAGAGAACAGTTTGTTCTTGCCAAAGACCCTAAAGTTGAGATCAAACTTACATCAGCAACATACACTTTTCTCTCTGTCTTGCTCCTCCTTTCTATTTATTTTCCTTCCCCTCCATTTTTCTTTCTCTACTTTGTTCCTTTTTACTTACTCCTTCACTCTTCTTAGATTCCCTTTCTTTCATTAACAAACAGTTTAGAGGAGAAGGACAAGTCTTACTGGACAGAACTAGACTAAGACTAAGACAAACCAAGTTCACTTCCTTACCCAGCTTAGCCACAGACTTCCTGTGTGACATTAAACAAGTAATTTTGTCACTGTGTGACTCAGTTCCCCATCTGTAAAACGAGGATAAGAATACTTTCTTTGTCTGATCTATTTAGATATCAAGTCCCCTGGGAGAGAGTCTGTCTCTGATTACATTTGTGTGTGTACAGTGCCTAATATAACTGGGGCCCTGAGTTCAGTGTGATCTTCCAGGAAAGATATTAATATATAAAATTAATTACATTTTATTAAATCGTAATACTTTCCATCTGGAAAGAAGCTCATTTATTTGAGGCATAAGAAATCAATATAACACAAGATCAGGCTCCTCTTCCAAAGCCAGTAATTCCAAAGGCAAAATTGTCTCTTCTGCAGGATGTAAGTAACAACCACTAAAGTCAATAAGAGTTACTCATACCCAGTAGAACTCCAAGAGGGGCAACACCACTATATATATTATATTTGACAGCAAGAGCAGAATTTCTGTGCTGGGCGCAAGAGTTGAAGACTATCTAGTTTGGTCCTGAATTTACCCTCTTACAATACTGAATCACCCATGAAGGAAACTGGTTAAAAAGGGCATACATACAGGCATATTAACCATCAGCCCAGTTTTAAAAAAAAGAAACAGAAATGATAGAGCTGATGAACAGATATTTAGGTATTTAGAATTTGGATGAATGGGGAGCAAAAGAATTTTCAATGGCTTTCAAGTTAAATCTAACAAGGTTAAGAGGACCCCAGATGGACATTCCTGGAAAGCCCCTGTGCAAGCCCAAAACAGACAGTGCAACATCTTTCCATGTTTCCTGAACCAGTGCTTCTCAACCATGATGTAGAAAGATTACATTTAGGGTGAAGAAGTAGCTCAGTTTACATTATTCACTCCTTGACCTCCCAAATTGAGGCCATCATTTTGTGCCAGTTGCAAGGTGACACCAATACTTTATAAAAGGGACTGGTCAACGAGTCATTTCACATAGATCCCTCAACAAGTAGATGGTTAAAGGCTCTCAGTCATACCACCAACCTGGCCCAGATTTGAAGGTAATCTAGATATGAAAGAATTTATAGTATTTTAATAATCTATTTAATATTAACAATCAACTGACACATTCAGTTCCCGATTCCTAACTTGGAATCAAACTAGAACAGCTAACATATGACATAAGAGAGACTTTTTATCCAGACTCAGCTGAACTATCTAATATCCCCCAAACAGTGCAGTACAATACAATGTATGCCTCAAACAACCATTCTTTGACGCCCTAAATTCCAAAGCAGTGGGCAGTGATGTCAGAAACACAGAATTATGACCTCTTTGCAGGATGGGGCAGGAGGAGGAGCAAGGAAGTGGGACACAGAGGTCTACATCAGTAGCAAAGGGATCACACAGAAATGATTCACTGAAAAAGCTACCTCATATGTAAATGTTTGCCATGAAGGCAGATTTTGCATTAGGTGTGTGCTGAAGACAAGTGATCCTCCTTTTGGGAGGGACTTTTTGTACGGTTCACAACATGATTTTTGGTTAGAAACATCAGTGTCCACAACGACCACAAGCCAGTGCTGATCTGCCACAAGTTTATCTATAAAGCTCCAACACACAGAGCAACAACAGACTTCTCCATTACTTCTAAAATTATTGACTAGAGCCAAAGGAAAATTGGTTCAGGTAGAAGAATCAAGAACTGCCCTAAACTTCCTCCAGGAAATCAACATTCTTTAAGGACATTTTGGAGGGTTAGAAAAATAACACACTTTTTTTTTTTTTACCTTGTCTTTTATTTCCCCAACTGTTCCACCATTATTGGTTCCAAATGAGACCAGAATTTATTAAATACTCTGAGGAAAATGCAGACTTCTTAAGGAAAGTGGTGGAAACCCTTGTAATATTTAAAATAGACAAAGCACTGGATATATATTATGTTGGATGTGCATAATTGAGACAGTCAAAATAATCTAGTAGGACTTCCTATTTTTTAACTTCTATAACCAGATGACTTAACTTCCCCATGGTTCCTTTGCATCATCTGAAGACACTCACCCTGCTGATAGAGAAGACCATACCAGGCTTGCCAGAGCAGACACCCATGAAGCAGTGACGGAATTGCCAGTAGAAGAGGTGCTCACAGATGAAGGTGATGAGGCTGAGAGCCATGGCTGCCCCCAGCATGTAGAAGACCCCTGCCATATTGTCTATGTCAAGTTGGCTGCTCATTACCTCATTCTTTTCATTATGACAAATGCCAGTGAGCCAAAGAGCTTCCAACTCCTCCATTTCTCCTAGAAAGACAAAAGATAAAGCTGAGGTGGTTCTGTGCTAATTATAAACTCCAAGCAGTAGCAAACTGGAATAGAAGTTGGCCTCAAGTCTTTTCTACTGTCTGAGCTCTGGTTTTATAACTGCAGTCTGACCATGGTGGAGTTCTGTCCATATAGCTCCTTGCCTAGCACTTCTGGCAGGATGCAGTGTTCATAGTAGTAAGAGATGTAGTGATTTGTTGGAGGAGAAATAAAAGGACAAGACTCTGCCATAACCAGATGCTAGAATGAAAGGCTGCATTATAATACACACCTGCCAAACTACCAAACTTCTAAAAGAACTGTTAAGGAAATTCCATTCCATGTCAGTAGAGACGTTTCTTCTGAAACTTTTCACTGTGGATATCAGATCAGTGGAGGGAGAAAACAGCCATTACTACAGATGTTTAAAAACATATTATTTTTCTCAATGAAAATATCCTTGCTCAGGTTTAAATTCACTGACATTTCACATTTTAAATTTTCCACACAATTCCGTAACTGGTTTTTGACTAGCTAAAAAAATCACTTATTAAAATATTTCCATATTATATTTATTAAAATATTTTTCAATTTTGTCAAAATTTCAAATTTCTATTTTTGATCAGCTCAAATTATCAACAACATATACCAAGTAACAATAGAGCTTTCCTAGATTACCTGTACTGCACATTTATCCCTATTACAGTATGCTCATAATCTATGCAAACCTTCAAAAACTGAATTCTGGGAATACTTTTCAGATTTTAGGAGAAACTGGAGGTTAGTCGTACTTTTCAGGATCAGACATGAGATCTTATGTTCATATGGTATTACACTGCACAGTCAGGTACATTGTGGGGGGTTTATACTTTTCAGAATAAGCTTTCAGATGGTAGTTAATTCTTTGCTAAAATATATCAGTTCTAATAATCTTCCTGTATTTATTTTCCTGTACCTTTATTTCTGATTTAAGAAATCTATTCATTTACACAATAAGATAAGAATTTTATTTTTCCAATAGAAGTGTCCTGAAAGGAGTGGTATGGGGAAGGAAGGGGGAAACAGTAGAAAATTCTTTCCAGAGTGAAGCTCTCATCCCATCGACAATGTACCATATTTTTTTTAAGTAATACCTAATAAGGATGAGGGCAAAGTAGTTTGAATCCAGTAAGCGCTGAAGAGCTCTTCAAAATTTACTACTGAATTCCTAATGGAATAATTCTTGCAAAGTCCATTTTTACTAGTGTCTTTGATTATGGCCAGCAACCTGGAAGTACTACTAATTCACAAGGGAAAACCTGCTTTCACAAGACTTCTGAAAGGAAGATATTCAGGTAAGCTTAAAATACACTTCTGATCTGATGCTTACCTTTTATCAAATCTTTGAAACTGTTTATATGTCTGCTCATGTGGCTCTATCTATCTTTTCATTGGTAACCTGTTTTTATTAATCTCCCATTATCAACCAAGTCTAAAACAGTAAGGTAGGGACGAGAGCAGCAAATTCCACACAGATAGGATCTAGCAAGATCAAGGAAACCCAATCTTTTTGTTCAGATCACTTACCATCACCAAAAAGCTGAAGGATGGCAAGGTCAACCTGGCGCTTCCAGCCAGAGTCCTTTTGGATGGCAATGCCATAGCCTGTGGAGGCAAACACCTTCCCACTTCCAATTGTTACCAGTTTACAGCCCTCGTCTCTGCCAGCCATGTAGTTTAGCACTGCTGCGTCATAAATGAAGGCATCCAACTTCCTGTATAGGTGTAAGAAAAAAAGAGGGTATGCAGTAAAAAAAAGATTCTATGCAAGTTCAAATCACAATACATAGTAATTCCCTTTCCTTGCAAAAAATGTGGTTTGCTAGCTATGGATGAGAAGAACCAATCCAGATCGAATAATGTATACTGCATTCTGAAACTTCACTAAGAGCAACTAAAATCTGAGCCTTGAATCTTAATTTTCAACATGGAGGAGATTAGGTAAGGACCTATCTCTGTTTTCCTGACTTCCAACATGGTCTCCACTGAGGTGATGTGGAAGAAGAAATAAAACAAAAACTATTGCAGGGTCAAGGATGAATAAAGAGGAAGATAAAAGAACATCTATAGTCATCTTAAATGTCCCAGCAGATCTTTAATGATAACAATTGATCAGGTCATTGATTGATTTATGTCTTAACCATGAAGATGGGTATTATCACACCCTGCTTGTAGAGCACTGAGGCTGGTCGGAGACTGGACAAGCACCTAGCTATGGTCATCTGACCCCACAGCCCTCTTTCCTGCCCATGGCATGGGGTCGGACTCAATGACCTACTGAGGTCCCTTCCGACCTTAACGTCTATGAATCTATGAGGCTATGTCTACACCACCTTTGAACTGTGCTAGGGAGTGCAGTGGTGAAGCATGGCACGGCCATTCGGCACACGCTACACTTTGAAAATATTTAATGTAGCCATCCTTCGAGTGGCACTGGGATATGCCTAGAGCATTTTGTCTCGGGTGTACTAAATAGCACATGCCCAGGCTACTCTAAAGACATCTATGTTACACTTCTGGGGTGTTGTATATGCAGAGTACAGATGCCCTGAGAAACTTATTCCAGATTCATTTAGAGAACCACTAATGTTGGCACTGTGACTAGATGACACTGGTGGATGTGGTTTGGAGATGTCAGGTAGCCTTTCCTTCCTCCCAGTAAATATTGATTATTTGGGAAAGAAACACCAACTCAAGGAAATATGCTTTACTGGTGGCAGGTTAGGGTGTCATGTCTTGTGGTGTGTCAGGGTTGATGACAGTTTTACAGAGAGTTTAGATTATGGATTTGTATAAATTGGTTTGGATAGGGATGATCCTGCCTCTGATGACCTCTGGAGGTCCCCTCCAGCCCTAATTCTCTATGATTCTATGGTTTACATCTTCCAAATAACCAGAGATTGCAAGAGAGTAAAACTTTCTGCTAAATATGAAATGAAGAACTTTCATCTTCCAACCCTTTCACTACCATACCCACCCACCCATTCAATCCTGTCTTGAGCGGGTGGTTGGACTAGATGATCTCCTGAGGTCCCTCCCAGCTCTACTTTTTCATGATTCTAACCCCTATGGGAGTGCATGTATGTTTCCAAGGTAGTATCTTAACCATTCAGTTCAAGTTTATTCCTAGGGTGTGGTCTATCCCAAAGTTAGTATAAGTCAGTGTTGACTTCTACCTGGTATATATTTCTAGGATGACATCTCTCTCATCTATATATTTCCAGGACAGAGCATATTTATTTCCTGGATGACGACTACCCTGGCGCACGTTCATTCCCAGGATGGCATCCAGTAATTGTACAGTCATTTGTAATGGGCTACGCTCCTCTGACTCAGGCAAATGGGTTAGAAATATTCAGTCAATCTAGTAATTAAATTGGCTGAACATCCTTTCGTACTTCAGAATGAACCTTATCAGAGAGTGCAGTGCTTCTGCAACCCAGAGTGAGACACAAGGAGCAAAGATCTTGTTTTTTCCCACAGGGGTTCCTTTCTTTTTTGGTGTCCTTGTGACAAGGTATTTAGCAGAATTTGCAGAATTGTTGGAATCTGAAAGGACCAAACCACGAGCAATTCTATTATGGCCTCGGACTTGTGATTTCTGGGCTGTCACCCCTTCACCTTAACGCCCGCACCACCCCCTGTAATGCTGAGTTTCTGAAAAATCAATCTGATGTTTGACATGGAAGGGGCTGTCCTTATCCACAGAGGATAGGGACTTATGAAAAACAGCAGGGTTTCTGTCTGCTCATAGAGGACATCCTGGTAGCTGTTAGAATGGGGCAAAGGGCTAAAAGCAGACAGTATTTTCAGTGAGTTTTTCCCTTTCTGCTTCCCAAAGATCTGTGAAAAAACTCTGATTTCATATGTATATATATATATATATATATATATATTCATGATTCAAAGACATTTTGACAGGCACTTTATGCAAAGGTATTTTAGCCTCTGGGTCATTCACAAACAAATTACTTTGACTATGTCATTGCCTATATGATCTTCATTGTTGCTTCGCCGGCCTGTGACATTTAGGCTCCCTAACTGACTTAATCTTTCATGGAATAAAAAAGGAATCAAAACAGTATCAGGAGGATTGTGCAAACATTTCTGGGACAAGCTTTGGCCACAAAGTACTGAAAGTACTGGCTCTGCAAAGGCATAGGCGTCTCCTCATACATAACAGCTTGTACCAGCAAGATTGCTTGTACTAACATGTATGCAAATAAATATTCACATGAGGTTCGCTCTCTCCAAAAATATTCCTGTGAACAAACAAAATCAAACAAAATCACTTGTATAGATATTAACAGAAAACTATCAAAAAAAGAATTGTGAGTAGCATCAAAACAAAATTGCCTCAGTAACTGTTGTAGTGTTTGTGATATTTTGGGCACTTCGAAAATCATAGAAAATAGTCACTGAAGCCCAACAGAAAATTCTCAGACACTCAAGACAAGAAACCAAGCTTACATTGTGGACAAATGCAGAAGATGGCAGCCTTACCCAGTTTTCAGTGATAACAGTGCATCCCCTACCCCCCTCTGATTGAACTTCACCATGTAGCTATGCATTTCAGGGTAGTTGTTGCGAATGTTCCTTTCTGTGCTGCCATTGGGAACTGTCCCAAAGCGGAAAGGGGGTGAGAAGTCATTAGGTTTCTGGAACTGGAAGGAAAGAAAAAGTGAAAACTTCTCAGGACTTTCACCAATAAATAGTAGTTTTCATGAAATAATCAATTTTGTTGAACAGGAGAAAGTTTTGTTGGGACACAGAAATTAGCTACCATCTTATTTAAAATAAAATGAAAGGATGCTTTCAAAAACTATAGCCTCTGGTTAAGAATCCGAGACCGAAACCAACCAATATAGTTTCACTAACAATACACAGTTTATACAAAAGTTCACTAAGGAGTCTGAATGACCGCCCCCCCAAAAAAAAATATCAGCTTCAAGAATGAAAAATAATATTTTTTAAAATCTTTTACAAAATAGCCTAATGGGTGGGTTTGGAACACATGTAAGAAAACGTTTTTCAGAAATTATAAAGACGACTTACTCTGCCAGCATTACTGTATTTTTTAAAATCTATTTTTCAGCTTTGGAACAGACACTGGGCTACCTGGTTCTGTCTGATGGAGAAACAGTCTTCTCATGAAGAAACAGTCTTCTCACAATCCCTCATACTCAAATTAGTAAACTGAGATTTTGTTTTCTAACTTTTGGGTGTTTCTCTTGACTCAGAGTCTAAATCCTATTAGAGCTTTGCTTGTTTCTAATGGCAACTGATGCCTGAAACAAAGATGGAAGAAGTAATCCTCCAAGTCCTTTGCTGCTCCCAAGAAATACAATCATCATAAAACTCCCCCATGACCGTAAGGCTGTAAGATTTTATATGCCACTTGCTTAACTCAAGTCACAATCAGTGCTTTCTGGGGTTTTATGAGCAGTAAAATTTAGCACTGCTGATTATCAAGGCTTCTTAAAACCCACAGAACAGGCAGATGGGAAGAAGCACAGAAAACTGCAAGCCAGGAACTGAATAAGTAGTAAAGAAAAAAAATATGCAGTGGTCAGTCTGGTAGATAGAAAAATCTGTCCCTTGGTTGTGCAAAGTGTTATTTTGCATGGTGCTCCCTGCTAATTACCATCTTTTGACCATGCTTAGTGAGACTTACAAGGGGCAACATCAGATCTTGGTCTAATGGGCGAAGTGACCAGATATTATTGAGAGGACAGACTGGCTGCACATAAGTGTTTACACATGTACCACTTATGCTGTGTGTACAGAATATACCAGATCCAGTAATGTGTACACTGCCCTGTGCTGTGTAGAATAAATTAGTTCCATAGCAAGCATATCTGTTCAATCTGCTGGGTGTGTTAACATCATTTCACAGCTATTTGTGTGTATCCATCCCCCGTCCTGGATGAGTTAGGGAATCATCTCCCTAGTTAGGATGAGTTTGACCAGGTCGTGTGTGTGTGTGCATGAGACAGAGAGAGAATAAGAAGACGTGCATGCACCATTGCTCCTAAAAGGATGGAAAACGTCAGCACTATTTCCCAAAATACAGGCCTGCACTTAAATAAGTTCTCAAAATGTAAACAGGCAATAAGGTGCCTCTCCAGAAACTTAACCCTCTCCCAAAGGGAGAAGACAAGCTCATAACTATCAAAAATTGTAATGAGAGTAAATTTTGATAGAATAAAATCACTGCAGCATGTTAAAGCTATTATTATTCATCACATTGATTAGGACCAACCAAGCATAGGGCTGACTATGTGAGGCACTATAAAACACATTGGGTGCTTCCTACCTCCCAAAGCTTGCAATCTCAATAAATAAGCTCCTCGACCCCCAGGGAGACACTGAAGCAGAATGAACAATGTTATGGCAGTGAATGGGCACATTAGTCTCATGGTCTTTTCAGGGATGGGCAGTGGGAGGAGGATTTCACTTGAGGATAAACTGAATGGGGAAAAAAAGGAAAGGAAAAGGAGGCACTAGAGGGAAGGAGAAGGGTTCAAGGTAGGAAAGGAGTGGGTAAGAGGGGCAGTGGGGGAGCGAAGCTGGGGTGGAGAAACTGTGAGGGAGAGGAAGGGGGAGAGGATTGGAGTAAACAGGCAGTCAGCACAGAACACAGAAATGCGGTCAAATGCTTCAGAAAGCAGTAGCATAACCAGGGCAGGGCAAGCAGGGCACCAGCCCTGGGCACTGACTGAGGGGGTCCACAATCCCCCAACCCAGCTGAGAATCTACCACAGCCAGGAGAGTCTTGTACTGCCCCTGGTCAGCCACAGAAGGTGGGCAGAACAGTGCTGGATGACATGGAGCGCATCAGGATGGCACGGAGCAAGTGCAATGGTGCTTCCCCCTGGGGGCTTCTGCTAGAGCAGGCACAGCCCTGAACCCAATATGTATGCATGAGAAAGGTGGGGTGCAAAAAAGTCAGTAGGATCAATGCCCAGGAAGCCCGGCCATGGGGCTACTGATGCTGGAGCTGATTAATGGTGCTACAGCAGGGGCAGCAATAGCACATGCAGATAAGACTTCCCTTCCCCTAGCCCACCTCCTCCCCCCATCTACGATGGTCAGCACACTCTTGCCCTATGCTCCCTCCCCCCCATCCCTCCCCCACGAGGGGCTCAATTTGCTCACTACAGCTCTGGCAGAAAGTTCTCTGAACATCCAAGATCTCTGCCTTGGTTGCTTCTATGGTTGTTCCTACTGGCTGGAGTCTTGGCTAATTGTTCCCCGCAGGCTTTCCCATAGAGTCAGGTGGCAAAAGAGAAGGGAGAGACCACCCAAGTGTGTGCAGGGGGGTTCCTCTGTAAAGCTCTGCCTCTGGGCAACACTGGACTGCAGCCCTTCCCCAGTGCAGCAGTTGCAGCTTTTGCCACTTCTACAGCTGGTGGTTGGACCTAAAAGGAATAGTCACATCTATTACCACATAATGTGCTGTAGAACAGGACACTGATCCCTGAATCTTCCAGAGCACCCCACCACACATGAACAGCCACATTAGCAACAGCCGCACATCAGTCTCTTATCTCTTTTCTCAATTCGTCTCTCAAGTTAAAAAAAAAAAAAAGTTCCTAAGTGACGGAAACTATCATTCCCTCTGGCTATAAAAGGTTGACCCTAGAAAATGGACCCAGTAAGAATGCCTGCAAGAAAATTTATTTACATCCAGGTATTTTCTTGTGAGCTCCCCCTTCTCCCCCTCCACTCTCACCATTCAATCAAAGACAAATCTCCATATGCACCTTAGAGAAAGTCTCCCACTGCAGTCCTGTGGAGAGCAAGATATGAAATTATATGCAAGGATCCATACGATACCCAAAAGCAAAGATCCTTGGCTCTAAAGCTTGACAGGAACACACATAAATATTCATTCCCCGACTCCTGGCTTTGTGTTCATAACACTGAAGGGAATCGATGCCCAACTGCCACTCACCAGTCCATAGGACCCAAGAGAGAAGGGAAAGGCTTGGGAAGGAAGAAAAGTCCTCACTATTAAAGGAAATAATATCCTTTATCACAAGTTAGTTAGTCAGTTAGTTCCTCCCTTTTAGCTTGGGCTTGGAGAACAGCATCACAACCAACATCCCTAGGTCTGGGGCAGAGCCAGAAGCAGTAGGATCAATCAGAATATTTCTGATCCCATTGCCCCATGATGTGGCATGCAGCGAAGGAGCGGAAAGGTTGCTTGATCCCCCAGAAAGTACTAGCGCTGCCTACCTAGGGAAGGTACGCACCTCCTGCTGGCCTAGGAAAGCACCGGGATAAGGGATCTCATCTCTTGGACATCCCTGGGAAATCCAAAAAGGCATGGCAGTGCTGCAAGAGACCCCACCAAAGGAAGATCTCCTGGGTTGTGCCTATCTCTGCAACTAGCTTAGAAGATGTCACCCCGCAAGGAGGAGAGGCAAAGTATGTTGCTGTGCTATCCTAGGAGTAGACAATATAAGATGGGGCATATATAAGATGCTATGGGAGAAGCATTACGTGGAGAGGGTCTCTGCTGGGCCTCAGTCAATATAGATCTAGAAATTAAACATGGGCATTTATGCACAGGGTCAGCATCTAAATCCCAAGCTCCTAAAGATCTCCTATCATTTCATCTTAAGCTCCTGAGCTACAGAGGCCCTGAGTCACTGTCCCCCTACACCCAGGACTACAGACCTCTATACAACTCCCCTTGATACCTCCAAAAAACAGTGTGGACCGAATAATAACAGCAAGAGTTGCTCTTGCCTCCTTATAGGTAAGAAAAGGAAAGATGATACAGCGGTAGCACAAATGGAAGGAGAATCTGTGACAATGGAGAGTCACAGGGAGCAGATAGCACAGGTGTGTGCTGACAGTGCTGATGCATATAGGGAGGCCTAGGACTTTTAGAAGTAGGGGATGTGAGGGCAGTGTCTAGCCCTGCAGGAGTGGATGCACCCTTGCTTCCAACCTATTCCCCCAACCAGGATAGGCAAAGTGTGCCATGGGAATAGCAGCTATGGACTTTTTTTGAGGCCCAGAAGCATGTAAGAATCCCCCCCCTCACTCTTAGCCCCCCCCTCTTCCCCTCCATGCTCCACAGTACCTTTCCTTCCTTGCCATCCCATTTCCCCTCTCCCTATTTACACCTATGGGCACAGTGAGCCCCACCTGCCACCATCACTGTCCTGCTCCTACCAAGGCTGCAGGGAGCTGCTGAGCAGGGAGCCAGGCTTGGCTAGGGACAACTGTGGTGGCAAGTAGGTTTCCCTATCCTTACACCCACTCCCATGCTGGCAGGGAACACCCAGGGCAACTGGCAGGGAGGGAGAACTACCCGCCGTCACCACTGCTGCCATTCCCTGTTCAGCCTGACTCCCTACGCAACTCAGCTGGAGCAGGGCAGGAAAGGTTCTGGAGCTCCCCTGCCCCAAGTCAGCAGGGGCAATGGGGGCATTGGCAGTAGGGAAGCAGGGGAATGAGAGGCAAGGGGGTGTGCTGCAGAGCACGGAGGGGCAGAGAGGAGATGCTGAGAGATGTGGAAATCTTACCTACTTCAGGACTTTGAAAGAAGTTCCCAGCTGCTGTCCTGCAGCATGGCCTAAAAAGGGGGAGCGATGCAGTCGCATCATTGCACCCCCACTGGATCCACTACTGTGAGTGTATGTTTCTC